ACATAGAGAAAATATTTCCCAGCCGGTTGTGACTGGTATTTATGCAGTTCCTCACATACTTGTAGCCTAACATATGCATAAAAAAAACAACTAGGAGATCTTACTGACCGTACTATGAAAGAAAATACATCAAGACTATTGACTAATAAAGTTGATAGAACATGACACCAACACTTACACTAAATAAAAGTAATCTTATCAGTAAACTACAGGAAGAGAAAAGTTAATCAGTTAATGATGACGGAAAAAAGAAAGTGACTTTCAGTATGCTTAAAACACAACCAGCAGCAGTAGTAGTTTAAGTATAATCTAATAAGTAGTCTGTAGAGTGACTGTGTGCAATAGTGAACTGTGAGGGTGAGAGAAGATGGAAAATTTCAGTGGTGACAGGCAAAACTATATGGTTATTTGAAATTGTTAGAGAGACAGCTGCGAAGGTAGGCACGCGAACAAACATTATGCAATATGACAAGAACGTTTTTGGAATATTTCATTTGACCTCCACCTACTATTCACTTATTTGTTAACGATTCTTATACTGGCTGGTGAATGAGAATCACATATGATCCTTTCTGACTAGTCTCAATATCTGATTGCTGTTATCTTCAAAGAAGGTGAGCAATCCTCTTACTATAACCATCAATGAATCCTCCTGATGAACATATTATCGAAGATTCTAGATTGTATAGCAATTTCATATCTAAATAAAGATAAGCAACATAAAACTCAAGACCAGCAGATGAGATTCAAATCTCACTGTTTTTGTCTCGCCCAATTCACTACTCTCCGCTTGTACTTGGAACCCAGGCATACTTACTGACACTCTACTTCTTAGACCGATGATAGTATTTGGCAAGTTTTCCCAATCGAAATGCTGTATAGCAAATTAATGGTTCAGGAGATCATCGGTTGTTTGTCAGAGTCAATAAGGACAGTTTAGGCTTCCTGGTTGGAGTCCACTATCATATGAGACGTGATTCAGAAACAGTCACTTGAATGCAAATATAATGCCAAATTATATTCTTCACAATCTTGAAAGCCCTATTTTCATGAATCTGTGTATGCTACATTTGTTTCCTCCCTTCGTTATTTTACTACCGTTGGTGTTATTAATCTTCATTTTTCTTAGTATTTCTTCCACTCACTTTTCATCTGCATTTTGTTGACGTAAAAAGGATCAGTTTTGATATTTACACGGTCAAGCAATTTCATATATTGATAGTCTTGGTTACATTGTGTTCTCTGAGGAGCTGGGTTGTTTAATCTTGAAGCTTTCGTCGTCTTGCTAGACGACATCATCAACACTAATTTCAATATGAAGTGAGCTTTAAATATCTCTCCGTGAGTGATTTAGTAGCTTGCCTTGACAAAGTGGTCTGTGATCGGTTGTTTCCTTCGATTGTTGTGTCATTGATTGTATAGACTTTCCTGTTCGCAATCAACGACACAACAATAGAAGGGAACAATTAGTCACAGACCACTTCATCAAGGTAAGCCAGTAAATCACTCACGGAGAGGTATTGGCAGCTCACTTCATACTGAAGTTAGGGCTGATGATATCGCTGTCTAGAAAGACGATGAAAGCTTCACGATTAAACAATCCAGCTCCTCAGAGAACACAATACAACCAAGACCATCCACCTGAGCTACAAATATTCTCCATTATTTCAATATATTGATAGTCTTTGTTGATTTGAAGCGCTGTGTTTTGTTGTTGACTACAAATGAACAACATTCCATTTCTTATGCTTCTTTCTAATATGGTCATGTAACTTACTTTAAATAAAACGTAGTTGGTCACTAAAGAGTGACAAACATCATATTATCTAGATCAGAGTGATAACAGAAATCAGTCTATCCTTTTGCAAAGTAGTCACCGTCATGATGAATCTATGATAGATGTTATCTGACTGAATTTTGTTCTTGCTTGCACTCATTACCTTGGTGTGTCTGCAATTTTGAGGGGACTGAGGAACACAGAATGTTTCTCTTACTTTACTCACTTGCTGTTATCTCAGTTTCCTCGAGATATACTGATGTAGAGAAATTCATTAAACCGTCTACATTATTCTCTACTTTAAAGCCATGAAACTAAATTGGTCTAAAAAGGATTTCGTTTTCAGCTATGTAATTTAGATGTTGGTCTCATTACTATGCATAACTGTAACATTCAACAAGCTCGAAAATGAAGATTATTAGTGTGTGAACACCTTCTGTGTGTGATTGTTTTTTAATCTTGAAACGGTTGATTTATTGTTTACCAACTTGACTATAATAGGTTACTTCAAGTCTGTGGCATCATGAACATTAATGGGAATAGAAGTAAGGTTCTATTTTAGAAAGAAAATTATTTTAGAAGGCTAAAAATGTTCTTAACCAGTTGCAAAACAAATCTGTGATATATATATATATATATATATAATACATCAAGACATGTCTTCAGCGTTGAAAATTCTCATTTCGATAAGTCATTTTTAGAAGCTTTAAATCGTAATCATAGATGGAAGTGACCCAATGCTGTACTTTATCCTTCACATAACCTCTAATCAGTTGATGACTGAAGAAAGTTATCTGAAGCTGTGCGGAACAGATGTTATCTGTCCTTCAGTGCTTTTAACAATCGATTCTTGTGTATCCCTGCCAATGTATCTCCTTTAAATCCAGTATTCATGAATACTGTCTTCTTTGGAACCCTTAGGGATTTCTTCTTTGAAATCCTTAGGCCTCATGTTCCCCTCAATGAATCTTGAAGGATAACCATTCTTGATTGACACTCTTCGAGGTACTTCCAGCTCCCTTTTTACTTCATCACTTGTACAAATTTTTCTACTTCGTGGACATAATAAATGGATTAGATTTCTTTTCTTGACTATTGGAACCCAGCTTTGAAAATGAGTATATTGTCCATTCTATGTTTGTTTTTTGTAAATCAATCTCCTTAGGGAACCATAATGTCTATTCATTAAAACGTTCAGGAATTAGAATTTTGAGTTGTTTTTCGTTTCCATGGTAAATTTAATTGACTTATGGCATTCATTGAACTTTTATAATATTTCTACAAGCTTACTATCCTCCTCAAAGATGATGAACGTGTCATCCATGTATCTCATATGTAGGTGGAACTGACCGATCAATGAACGTAGTTTACTATTCTCTAGACTGGCATTGAAGCAGTCAGCTATGAGAAGCCTCAACGGTGAACCCGTTACTACCCCATCTGTTTGTCGATAAAGTTAATTATTGAATCTAACTTGTATATTAAAGGTACATCATAACAGCAGTTCCTTCAGACAACGTTTAGGAATCCCAATTCCAAGCTTGTTGATCACAATACAATCATACAGAAAGCAGATTGTTTCCGTCAAAGGTACATTCGTGAAAAGCTATGTGACATCTATTGGTAACATACGCTTACCACACATGTTAACATCTCTAATGTAATTAACGAAGTCAAATAAGTCAAGAATACTGTGATTATTGATCTGATTCTACACACAGGTGAAGGAATTCGGTTAACCATTTAGCAGTCCCATGATATAGTGATTTGTTCTCATGTCAATAGTTGAATGAAGAGGAACATTTTTCTTGTAAACTTTGAGTACACCATAGAGTCGAGGAATTACTGAACCGAATGGTTTAAGTCATCCAAACAACTTTGCACTGATACTCCATTCATCTTTATTCTTCAAAAGTTTTATCAGTTTCTGTTCTGTTTGTTTCGTTGCATCTTTCTGTAACGCATCTTTCAAGAATTTGTTTTTATCAGCTAGTATACATGATAGTCTATCAATATAACCTTTACTATTCATGAGAACTATGCCAGATCCGTAGTTGGAACTAAGTAACAAAAGTTCCCTGTTCTTCAAAAGTTCATTTAGCTAGATTTTGTGTTCTTTGGACAATATTCTCCCAGTATTTGGTTTTGTGTTCAAGTAATGAAGGAAGCAGTTGAAAATCGTTGATTTAAACTACTCCGGACTCTCGTTACAGGTTGGGATTAGATTGTTTGTCTAGTTCTTTAAACATTCAAACGGAACTTTAGTATCAGGCTCATTAGATGAGTAGGAGTATCATAAAACTTAGGACCTAATAAAAGTACTTGCAACTGATTTGCCAATAAAGCCATATTAGAATGGTGAAACAAATATTTTTCAGGAAAACAGGATTGGAAATCTGTTGCATGAATACTATTCATAAGCTATAGGTTTACATCTTTTTTGTATTCTTTGAAATTTTCTCATTCATCTTCTAACAGTTCACGTAAGACATGCTCTTTTAATGAGATATTGCGTTCAGTTTTAGGTTTTGTCTCATCAGTATTAATGTATGAAATATTCCCATCAGGATATGAGTAAGTTTATTTCAGTGAAGAGTCTGTTTTCAGCGATTTCATTTTCAATGCTATAAAGTCGCAAATTTATACATTTTTCTAGTGTATGGATTTGATAGTGAAAAATGGTTCTTGGGAACCTCTTTGTTCATAGTCATTTATAAAGTGAAAAGAAACCTGTACATCTTCATATTCTATGTATCCCTGAAGCTCTTACCATCCATATGGAGGAACTTGAACTGTGTACGCAACAGAAGATTGTCCAATCCCTTCTCCTTTCATGGTCTTAGTTTTTAGTCTCCTCTACTTCCCTTTTTTCCTTTCACTTTTCTATTTTCACACTATTCACTTCTTAAGTTATTTTGCTACTTATTCTTCTTACTATACTCTGCCTGTTCACAATTCAGTTTCCAATGATATCGTCATGTTACAAAACTTCTTGTCCAAACTTATTTTGATTAATATTCACTACTCTTCGTTGAAATATACTTGTCCTTCTTACATAACAAATGGATAGGAAATCTGAGTAAAAAACATACTTCTGAATAATCTGTATTAGGTAGGCTTAACGTAACTTCCTCTGAAAACTAATTCATAAAAGCATGTAATATGTTCCACGGTGTTACTTATTCTTAAATAATTTCTTCCTCTCTGTTTTCTTTTCTTTTAGTTTAATATTGCTCAAGGAACTTGTATGAGGAAACTAATGCGTATGCATCATTGTGCATTATGTGCTGGAGAAACTTTGTCAAGACCATGTCCTGGATTATGTTCAAGAATATTACTGAACTGCCTTAGACCACTCAATCACTTGAATCCACACTGGCAACGTTTCACAGGTAAATCAATTGAATATATATTCATTGTATACGATAACTGACATAACTAAAGCCCTTTACTAAGCATATGTTTTGACATTTTCAGTACTTATCTTCCTTTGATTTGGCCACATACCACTGGGAGTTAATCATGGTTGTAATAGCAGTCATACTGCCTACAGTTTCAACATTGAATGGTACAACTTTACAGCATTCAGAGGGAATGTAAACTTCCTAGGGTCGCAGATATATCCTTCTAAGGAGATATGAAAAGACACATAAATAACCTGCTTCCTGTCAAGTGACTCCTAGAAAAATCCAAAATACAACTAAGGAATTTAATTTTGTCTTAGTCCCTGGATTCTTTTCAAAATTAATTGAACATTACATTTATGCGGATATATCCCTAGCAATGATTGGTTAATGCGAATAAAACTTATATGTTCTATCTACTTACTGGTAAACAGTTAACTCGGTTCTACTTTTCACTTTATAGTCAATTGTTAGTAAGTACCGAAAAACGAGAGACATGACTTAAACGAAATATTCTACTGAAGAACTTGAGTAGTAGAAACTGACCTCAAGACTTCACTACCCAGATGAGAGTGATCAAAGCGCCGACAGCCAGTTCGTTACCTTAGCGTAGAACTCAACAGCAGTGTGCCCGGATAAATTCAGCTCACAGAAAAGAATGTTTTAGATCACTGAAATCTGGCTAACTGACTTGCATACCTAGGATAGGATGATCAGTTTGTAAATAATTTAGAAATTCGACGATACACGTTGGAATTTACCACAGCTAAATAGAGTTTCAACTGCCCAACTGCGATGTTAACAGGGTTTCCGTCAGAAGATCACAATGTGTGATCTTTGACACCAAAACGTAATGAATGGTTTCTAACTACTTGGGTTTTTTACTGATTTACTTAGACATAAACCAGGGACTTCTCCGCAGTAATGTCACTGGTCAGTTTATTAAAACTGGAATCCACCTTAATTGAAGTTTGAAAACTGTTGATAGGTTGACAAAGTGACTAATTTATGAGATTTATTGAATAAAAAACCATCTTTGGCAGAAGTATCTGGTAGTTTCTAAAAGCTGATAACGGCCCTTCACAGTCAGGCTTTCCATTACTGGAATTTTAGTTTCGACTTACTATGATAACCATAGTAACAGTGTTCTTTCTTGTTTAAATGGCTTGATTTCGAAAAAACTGATTTCATTATCTCATCATATCATTCGTATTTTTCTGCTTCAGTCTTACTACTTATGAATAGCTAGTAGACAGTCTTAGCTAAGAAGCATTTTAGTTGTCTGGCTTCACTGATTTGAAATGCATTGTAAAAACATCAACATCGAAAGGAATCATTATTATTCATTGGAGCACCATTGAAAACTTAGGACTATCACACAGCTTTTCCATCCTAGTATAGGAAACTATAGCAGTGTGTACACACAACTGCATCAATTATCCAGTCAAGGACATCTTAGTCTTGTGGCGAGAACCTTATTATTCAGCAATAGATCTACATTTTTCTCCTTCTTTCAATTCACAATATGGCCAACAGTCATCCAACGCTATCACTGAGCACAAACCTAACAACCAGGTTAGTTTGCTTTGCAACTCACGATTTCTCATCAGTTTGGAAGGTTATTCGGTTTGATGGTCTATCCAGTACTTCCAGGTTTTCAGTCATTCTCTAAATTCCATCAATCCTTACAAATTATCGCTCACCTTCAATCATCACCCAGCGTAATTTTTCTTTTAGTTGAAATTAGCTTTCAGGAGTGACGAAGAGTTGCTGTGTTTCGGTGAAGTGCAGCGTTGTTCACTTTACACATTAACATTCCTAAGGTGAATGAGTAAAAGTAAGACGTAGATAATAACAACACTGAACGTAGTGATAAGCTAGAAGTGAATGCTAATATGACTATTCTTTCTCAGTATCTTATCAAAAGACAAAGGCTGATGCATGACTGCAAGGATCACTCTACTTGATAAACTATAGCACATCGATACACTTCTCATACACATAAAAATGTCGTAGACTAAAGATTAAAAAAGCAATCTAATAAAGTTATTCTGCCTACATTTAAACATAAATCAAAATCTGAAACGAAACACTCTTACCTTAACAGTTGACAACTTAAAATGTTGCTTTCCATTTATGTCCGCTTCCTATCAATTCCAGTATCCAATGATCAATTGTTTATTTGAAAAGTTCATTGTAAACTACATTTAACCTAACTATTAAAGTAAGTTGTCATTCGGTATTTTTATTTTTTTGCTTTTTTTTCCAAGAAACTATCAAAGGTGTTGCTAATATGTTCTTAGAAAAGTCTAATTTAAGGCTAGAAAAACAATTTGAAGACTTTCCAGAACGACTTGTTAATTATTATCATCAGTTACTGAATACCTATCACAACTGGGTAAGAGACATATAGTTTTCCTGTATATCATAATTCATTCTATATATGTTTGCCTATTTAAATTTATGGTATGGTAAATTGTAGTATGTACGTTATAATAGTTAGAAACGAACAATTTTCGATATCTTAAGGTTTAATGCCCTTTACTGATCACCGTTGATAAGTTTTAAACACTCATTTTACTTCTATAGGGAGATAATATTAGATTAAGAACCTATATTTCTTAGTAGAACGGTTATTTTTAGTTAGATAGATATCAATAAGAAGAGATGGGAGAATAGTTTGATTATCGGGTTACTGATTTATGCATTAACCTAGATGGTTCACAGTCAAAAATACGAAATGTTATTAAGTTGATTATTTTTTATTTATCTTTTGGGTTCTAGTGGAACATAGGGCTTCAGTAACACATAGCCATTTCACTCTATTCTCCCCAGTCTTCTCAACCTCTATCCGTGACTCCCTACGACTGCTTTCATTTCATCCTCACACCATCTCCTCCATGTCAACCTCGGATACCCAACTCGTCGTTTCTCATTTGGCCTCCTCTTGAGGGCTTGGCCTGGCACGTGATGTCCACAAACCGTCTTCTGAGTGTATACTTAGTCCAATCCATCTCCACTTCCTACTGCTCCATATTTGTTGGATGATGGGTAGTTGGTTGGTTCGGTGAGAGCCAGCCAACCAGCTAGAAGCCAGCCAGAGTTCCATGTTACCTATTCTTATTATTCTGGCCATCTGATCTTCGGTGTCAGTATCGAGTGAGCATAGGTGGCAGCTATTGATGTATGTCTGCAGTTTGTTGGAAATGTTTTTCGTAAGGCGCCAAGTCTCTCAACCATCACATAGAAGCACTAACTTGACTGAATTGGTGTTGAAAATCTGAATCTTGTTCACGCTTTGCGCTGAGTGCAGTGCAGCAGATCTCCACACTGGTTTCAGGTTGATGAATGAAGGCCTGCCTTGCTATCTTTCCGATCTTGGCTGGCTTTAACGTCCTCGTCTGTGCCTGTGACACCTATAGTTGAAACGATGCTGCCTATGTGGTGGATGAAAGACTACTTCCCTCAAATTTCTCACGTTGATGGTGATTGGTGCTTGTTGTTGTTGCCGTTGTCGTTGGTTGGATATCTTCGTCTGTCATTTCTGTCTTCTCTACGTTCACCTGAAGGAAGTCCCGTCCTCCTTCGCTACCTCACTTCTACTGCCAACTTGTAGGTTTAAGACTTTAGATCTTTCAGTCTGTGTAACAAGACATTTGACATAAATCATCATCGGCGATATCCAAATCTTCTGGGCCCTTTTCATCGTTCCAGCCAGTGTATGCTGACCTTCTCGCTCACCACAGTTTGTTGTATGATCCATTCCTGTCGGCCACAATCGGCAATATTATCGGTGAGAGTAGGTAACCTTATGAAGCACTCAGTATCTGGTTATTATCTCGCTGGTCAAATGGACCGTAGACACCAGCTCAAAGCATGATAATGGTGGCGTTTATGGAGATTTATCACTTCGTCAAGTGAATCTCAACTTCGAATGATAAAGGAAGGTTCTTTATCACTGAAGATCTTTCTAATGTTATTTGTTATACTTTTTTCTTTAGTTATATCTAGAGAATATTCATGGAGAGGTGAGACCAAGCAAAGTATTACCAACATGAGGATTTATGGAAGTCTAAGATTATTCTGTCCAATTTGCCTTATCTTCCACAAGTAAATATTTCTCAGCTGGCCCCATTGATAATCAATATAACGTTTTTCATCTCAAAGGCAGCTCGATTAGGATTGGGATAAGACGAGCCGGTTGTGATTGCTATGAACAGTTAGCTAAGCACCACGGATTCATACGGAAGTTCTGTTTGAAGTGAAGTTACGATCTAGTCAACAACTGAGTCAAGTTAAATAGTTGGTAGAGCGCTTGTTATTATTTTTATTATTATTATATTATTTTTCACTTGGGTTCCTAGTAGAGCATAGGATTTCAGTAGCAGGTCTCCATCCCACTCTGTTCTCTGCAATCTTATTTTTCCTCACACCACCTCCTCCATGTCACCCTCATCTACGACGCCCAACTCGTCGTTTCTCATCTGGGTTCCACTTGACTGCCTGGCCTAGCCTGACGCGGGGTGTCCCCAAATGGTCTTCTCCGTGTATACCCACTCCAGTCCATCTCCACTTCCTTCCAATGCATATTTGTTGAGTGATAGGTTCTTGCTTCGTTGGTTCGTTGACAGACAGCCAGAGTTACTCCTTGCTTATTCTTTCTAGCAATTCATCTGAGCTTCAGTAACGAGTAAGTGTAGGCGGCAGTTGTTAATGAATATCTGTAGTTTGTTGGAAATCACTTTCATAACGTGCCAAGTTTCTCAACCATCACATAGAAGCACTGACTTACTTCACTTACAATAGTGTTGGAAATACGGATGTTGTTCACACCTTATGCTGAGTGGAGTGCAGTGAAGCAGATCTCCACACTGGTTTCAGGTTGATGAATGAAGGCCTGTCTTGCTGTCTTTCCGATCCTGGCTGGCGTAGAAATCTTCGTCTGTGCTTGTTCTACCGCCTGTGGTTGAAACGATGCTGCCTGGGTAAGTGTATATGAAAGAGACTACTTCCTTCAAGTTTCCCCCGTTGACAGTGATTTCAGCTTGCCGTTGGCGTTGTTGGTGGTGGTGTTGGTTGAGTATCAGTATCACCTCTGTCTTCTCTATGTTCACTTGAAGTCCCGTCTTCCTTCGCTGCCCTGCCCCTTCTGTCAACTTGTTAGTTTTTGCCTGTAGATCTTCGAGTTGGTAAACCACTTATTGATTTCAAACCTAGAATGACCTAGGTTTTCGCCTCAAATTCAATCATTACACCACATCAAAAAGATTTTTTCAGAAATTCCCTACATATCATGTTTATAAAACTATATGTTAACGGGTAAAAAGGTAACAAAGTTTGATTGTTTACACTAAGTCCTCTTGTGATAACCACAGAGGAATCAGCCTGACGAACATAGTATCCAAAATCCTAGGTTCTATAATTCTCCAACGCCTGAGTGGAGCTCGGGAACACCAAGCCCGAGAAAACCAGGCAGGCTTTAGACCCGGCCGCGGGTGTATCGACCAAATATTTACACTGCGCCAGGTCCTGGAACATAGCCACGCTTACAAACGCCCGACAATAGCTGTATTTCTCAACATGAAGGCAGCATTTGACTCCGTTGATCGAGAAGTCTTTTGGCAGTGTCTGTCACTGAAAGGCGTGCCTAGTAAGTACATCAAGTTATTGAAAGCTCTCTACTTGAACACTTGTGGGTTTGTTAGAGCCTATGGCGAGTTGTCCAGGGAGCTATACTCATCGAGTGGTGTCCGTCAAGGATGCCCACTCTCTCCATTTTTATTTAATTTTATCATAGATATTCTTATGGAGGTTTCCCTCTCTTCACCTAATTACACAGACGTTGACCCAATCACAGGTGAATTTTCTTTAGATCTAGAATATGCAGATGACATAGTCCTGTTAGGTGAAGACGCTGACAAGATGCAGAGTCTTCTGAACACTTTGAGTGGGAATTTGAGAATGTTTGGGATGCGGTTTTCACCACCCAAATGTAAATTTTTGCTCCAGGACTGGTCTTCAGCGGTACCGCGGTTAACAATAGAGAGTGAAGTGGTTGAGTATGTTGACCACTTCACTTACCTGGGAAGTAAGATCAACCCCGGTGGGTTAGTTGCCGATGAGATTTCTGCACGGATACAAAAGGCTCGATTGGCTTTTCCCAATTTGCGCCACCTATGGCGCCGCCATGATATTCGTTTGTCTATTAAGGGTCGCGTGTACTGCACAGTAGTCCGCTCTGTTCTAGTGTATGGCTGTGAAACATGGCCATTGAAAGTGGAGGATACAAAAAGGCTTCAAGTGTTTGACCACCGTTGCCTTCGTAGTATAGGCTGTATTCCGTGGTGTCACCATGTGAGTAATGCAGAAGTTAGGTGTAGAGTTTTGGGGAGAAGAGGTAAGTCAGTCAACGAGGTTGTGAACCTTCATCGACTGAGATGGTTGGGACACGTACTACGTATGCCTAGTCACCGATTGCCTCGTCACACAATGTTGGCTGAGGTGGGTTCAGGCTGGAAAAAGGCCCGAGGTGGCCAGACTAAAACATGGCACCAATGTATGAAGTCTCTGACTGTTGGTTTAAGCCATGTAGGACGATGCAGACTAGGTGGTTGGGGTCCACGGGACAAGAGGAACCAGTGGTTGGAGACCCTAGGTGATATGGCTCAGAACCGAAGTCAGTGGCGCAGATGTATACACACACATTATCCTCATCTTAACAACGCTATACCGAATCTCACCATTTTGTCACTCCTCTTTCCCTTCTTCTCGTACTTTGTATTTCTTTAGACTGCATTCACTTATCTTCATCCTTCACCTCACTACCTTTTTACTTGATGAACTGACTTGAGGTGTGGCAACTCGGACCGCTACGCAGTAATGTCTGGTCCTATTTTGATAATGATGATGATGATAATGAAGTTCATAAAATATAGTTGTATTATCATTCAGAAACTAAGAAGTCATCATATCTTCTCCTGTCATTTCAAGGGAAATTCAGTAAACCTGTAACCAACCAGTGTACTCTGTTTCTGTTCTATGAATTCCTGGAAGATATTATTCCTTTTAAGTTTCGGTAGTTTTTAAGCATTATTCTGTGATGAATAAAACGTCAGAGTAAAAACCAAATCAACATGTATCTACAGCAACCATTACTTTTTCTAAAATTGTCCTAATAAATTAGGAAAAGATAACAAAATCCATATTGAATTAGTGGATTCACTCAGGAAATAATTTATATGTGGGCAAGTGATTTTGATACTCACAGTTTTGATAGGTGTACACTGCTGACCATTCTTGAACTAGAACGATTCAGCTCACAAGAACTTATAAGTTTCCAATGGTTCTCTAAGAGATGTATATCGTAGACTGGAGCTGTTTTCATATCAACAGAAGCTCTAGCAACTCATCAGTTGAATAATAAACATTATATTGGAACTAAAGGAGTGATGGCTAACAAAATCACGGTGTTAAATCAATTCAGACTTGTCAAAATACAAACCTTTCAATTCTAGCTTACTGAACTCTTCAGATAATCACAGTTTAGATGTCTTTAAGCTTCTAAGTGAAACACACAACTCACTTACACCGTAGAACATATATATTGATGTAACTCATCTAGCCTTAAAAAACCTGTCAATGATACTTGGAATATCTTAGTACTTTGCATTAATTCTACATTCGCGCTTGAATTTGTTCACTCCTTTTCTCACCAATTATTATAGAGATTAAATGAAACGCATTACAAAGATGCTCATAGAATGATAACTCACATTGTTAATGGAATGCTTTTTTCTGTTACCTACAAGCAAAATATTTTAGTTAGCAAATACAAACTATTTAAAACAGATTATTTTGAACTGACTGACCATCTTTTAAATACCCAAGCTTTTTATAAAACGAACATGACTTCTGAAATGAATGCAGGCTATTTGGAGCACCATTGAAGAGCTGATAGGATACTGGATAGCTGTTTTGTCCTAGTTTGTGACTGCTTACACTCAGGCATACAAGGGATGGAGCCTAGAATTATTAAGTCTCAGGGGGACAGTGTTAATATTCAACTAGTAGGTTGAAACCTTAGTTGACGAAGATGGCTTGGACATGTTCTGCGCATGCCAAGACGCTCCCGTACTCGAGGAGATATAGATTGCCTGGCTGGGGTCTGCGAGACTAAAGGACTCAGTGGTTAAGGACTCATAGTGGCCGAAAATCAGCCACAGTTGTATAGATGCATTCACTTCTCAACATCTTTTAAAGCTTGAATACTCGCACTTGTCATTGTTTATTCTCTTACACAACTGTGTCTACTCTGATATCAGTCTTTTTCATTCCATTTCTTCTTCATGTACCATTGTGAAGTGTAGCTACTTAGACTGATACATTTGTGTGGGAGGTTCTACGTTGACTTTGTTTGTTTGTCTATCTAACGGTCCACTACTTCTTACCTCCTCCAGTGATCCCCAGAACCTTGGAGAGTCCGTCTTGAAACATGTCACTAAGTAGCGGTAAAAGCAATCCAACGGATGGTTTGCTGACATTTATATATGGCTCTGCCCTTTCTGAATAATAATGATAACAGTAATAACACTCATATATACCAAACTGCTGAAAGACTTCATTATGATATGTTCCTAGTGTTGTATTTAGGATAATAAGAAGTAGGTGCAGATGGTGAAATAGCAAATAGAATAAAAAGGAATACTATGGAACTGAATATTTCTTCAGACTTGTATTCTACTATTGCTTAATAATATACATTTCTACTTGTGAACGAAATGCCTCATTAAAATACACATACAAAGTAGAATTTAAATGTATCAATGCTGGACTATTGTTCCACTTTACTATCAAACTTATTTTGATGTTACACTAAAAGTCAATCAAATAATTACTGAAATGACCAATCAACTTTCTCCTTTTTTATTAAAAAACTCTGATAGATTATTTCAGTAGTGGCTAGAGTGAACTTTAGTGTCAATTCTTAATGTTTCAGTTTTCTACTAAGTAAACATAATAATTACTTTTAGAAGTAGTATTCATCATGGACTGATATCAGTTAGGGAGCTATTGAAAACATGGGAGCACTGGACAGCTGTTTCGTCCTAGTATGGGACTTCTTAGCATTAAGCACCCACGACCCGATAAAGGATAGAACTCAGGACCTTCAGGCTTCACGTGGAACGCATTAACCATCCAGCCACTCAGTCGGTTTCCACTGGTTCACAATTTCCAACTTCTGTCAATTTGCGACATAGCGCGTCTGTCACCTAAGGTCTTCAGTTGGCATCCACTTCACTTCCGACTGGTTGACCCCACAGGTAATGACTTCTCATTAGAGCTTCGTGAAATCCATCTGGAAGCAAGTCGCTAATGAGCACTATACAGTAATGTATTTTTGAGGTGAATGGGGACTTTTTTAATTTAGAAGTAGTATTCATCATGAACTGATGTCAGTTGGGGGTCAGTCAGTCGTAAGTGAAGTTGATACTAACTGAAAACTTTCGGTGATAGTTTCGCTATGTCGTGAATTGAGAGAACTTGGAGATTATGAAACACTGGAAACCGACTCAGTGGCTGAATGGTTAACACGTTCGCCGTGAAGTCCGAAGGTCCCGAGTTCGATCCCTTGTCGGGTCGTAGCTGCGTACTGCTGAGAATTCACATACTAGGACGAAACAGGTGTCCAGTGCTCCCATGTTTCCAATGGTTCCCCAACTGATGTCAGTCTATGATGAATACTATTTCTAAAATAAAAATCCTCATTCATCTCAAAAATATATAATAATTACTGTCCGATTAAGAAGGAAAAACGGAGTCTAAACAATAAATTTATGCATGTATGTATCTGTTCGGTTAAATAGTATAGTTAATAAATAAACCAGGATTACTCGATGCTAAGCTGAGTAGTTACACCTTTTTGGAGTAACTTTAATGGCTACCACACCAAAGAATGAAGTAATCGATTTGATCTTTTTCTATCAATAAAAAAACAGAACTTAATTGATTAGTTCAGTAGTCTTTAGAATGATGTTCAGAGTTAACCCATTATCTCAATGATAAGCCTAGTCATTTTGTTGTGAAAGTTTATTCGGGCCCCTTTTACACTGTCGTCTAGTAAACTAACCTGTGATAAAAAAAATAATTTATTCCATTGATATTTTGTATTCTCCTGAATAAAGTTGCAACCACAATGCTCTGGAATAGTGAAATTATATGGAGTATTCAATTTAATTAAAAATAACTCAAAAAATATACGTCAAAGAATGAAACGAAATCATGAAGAACGTTTGAAAAAGTATAAGAAAGTGTTTGAACAAATTAAAACGACAGTAAGTTAAATATTTTCATACTTATTGGTGATTTTTTATTGATAATATCTATGAAGTTGTTAAGGACTTTGATCATGACAACATGACAGTCAATACCCTGTGCTTTATTAACTACGTTAGAAAATACAACTACTGACCAGCTTTCTCTTTCTTGAAAAAAACTAGTAATATATATCGACCAGCTGACGAATCCTAAATAGGACGAAATGCTCATCCTAGATTTCACTGCTAGCCATTATCCATCATCATTGTATATCGACCTTGTTTTCAGTTTTTCTCAAATATCCTAAGAGAATTTGAAGCAAAATTCATGAAAAACAACATACTATTACTAAGCGAAGTTAATACTTTCAAGCTACTTATGAAACATAACTCAGTATGCAGATGTTTCTCAAGCTTTAAGTGGAAAACGTTTAAGTATCAAGCTGGAAATCATCATCACTGCAACAGAGCTTTACTCGGGTTACTCTCAGGGTAAAGTAGAACGTTGTAGTTATCCGTATACAACTAATAATTTCCATTACTTGTGTAGCTCTGATTCACTGGAGATGATATCTATTATGAAATTGAAACGTTTGCCAACTATAGCTATAGTTCGGAGAAGAAACTCTACTAGGAACACACAGAACTACACATTTCGAAACTTCAAAATTCTTTCACAAGTCGACACTTACTGTTTAAAAGATATTTAAATGTCATGTGGGAGTTATAAAGTATTAATTCCTCCATATTATTGAATAATGGTTGTGATGCTTTTGAAGTGAAGACAGGAGTGAAACAAAGCTGCCACCTACTATCACCCATGGTATTCCTGATTGTGGTGGACTGGATCATGCAACAAACAGTGAGGAGCGAGAAGAGGGGGATACACTGGCTGGACTACGGAAAAGAAACTAGAAGATTTGGATTTCGCCGATGACTTGTACCTGATGTCACATAAACTTGAAGATCTACAGGCGAAAACAAACAAGTTGACAGAAGAGGCAGTGCAGCGAAGACGGGACTTCAAGTGAATATAGAGAAGACAGAGGTGATGAAGATACCCAACCAACAACTCCAACAACAACAACAACAAACTCCAATCACCGTCAGTGGGAGAAACTTAAAGGAAGTAACCTCCTTCACCTATCTAGGAAGCACTGTCTCAACTACAGGCAGCACGGGCACAGACGAGCATGTCAAAGTCAGAATCGCAAAAGCAAGACAGGCGTTCAACAGCCTGAAACCAGTGTGGAGATCTTCTGCACTCAGCATAAAGCGTGAACAACATCTGGATTTTCAACACCAACCCAGTCAAGTCAGTGCTTCTGTGTGATGCGTGAGAGACTTGGCGCGTCACGAAAGGGATTTCCAATAAACTACAGACATTCATCAACAACTGCTCACGCTGCCTCGCTACTGAAGATCAGATGGATTGCCAGAATAATGAGAATAAGCAACAAGGAGCTCTGACTGGCGACGAACCAACCAACAACCTATCACGCAACAAATATGCAGGAGGAAGTGGAAGTGGAGATGGATTGGGCATGCATTGAGAAGGCCGACTGGGGACATCACGCTTCAGGCCAGTTGCTCGAGTGGAATCCCCATGGGAAGCGACGAGTTGGACGTCTGAGGTGAGAGTGACTTGGAGGAGATCGTGTGAGGAGGAAATGAGAGGTTGTGGGCTGTCGTGGTGACAGGTTCAAAAGATCTCAGAGAGTCGAGTGTACTGGAGACGTGCTACTGAATCCCTATGTTCCACTAGGAACCCAAGGGTCTAATAATAATAATAAATAATAATAACTGAATAATGGTTATTTTATTTGTAGATTTGACCTAATCACCATAAACGACAGAAAATTTTCATTCAGAACCATCTGAATAGGAGCCGTTCATCATTAGCTGTCAAAATATAGATGTGGTATATTGCCTAGTGAAAGAGGCTGCATGTGATCACTGATTACTGTTCAACACAATTCAATCTGTGTTCTTAATCACCTATCAAAGTAAAAACTGTATCCCAGAAGTCTGTTCAAGTCTTCTGTATAGCATTACTTTCAAAATGAAGTCTGAAAAAGTTTTTAAACCCTTCTCTATCTTTCAAAATAAATTAATCAAAGTCTAACTAACCTTCAACTATTCGAATAGCTTTTTGTACAGAAGCTTCATACACTAAAGTCAGCCAAAGTGTAGTATAGAACACCATAGAGAATATATTCGTTAGAGACTTGATAACCTTAGCAGTGTTTTGTGCTTAATGTTACTTGATAGTTAAAAGGGGAATGGAAATTTACGACTGAATCAAAATAAAAATGTGGTAAGCAGTCTAGTCTCGTACCTTAGTTGGTAAAGTACCGAACTGAGAACCTCGGTAGTCGTTGATTTGATGCCTCCCATTCCAGTTTCACTCATCACCTACTATCGATTTAATCTGAGGTGCTAATTTAGGAAATAGTATTCTGTTAATTTTTTTGACATAATGTAAAAGAAAAGTCCCCTTTTTCGTGTAGAAGTGAAATGAAATAACTGAACCTAAAGTTTTTAAAGCATCGTATTTTTGAAAGTCGTGACATATTTCATCTTTAGTGTTATTGCTTGTATGGCACCGTCGTCGGTTAAGCCGAATTGATTAGTCTCTGTTGGCATATGGGCTCCTGTGTGGATGCCTCGATATTGCCTGTGTTTTTGATTATGTATAGTAATGATCGGCAGTGGCTAGCAGTGGAATCTAGGATGTTTGTTTCGTCCTATTCGAGACTCGTCAGCTGGATCTACCTGACTCCCAGTGAGTGATGTTGTTCTCACTCGGACTTGAGAGCGATCGCTTCAAACGTGAGAGCGTTATCCACCACACCATTGAGCCACATTAACCACTTCTTGTGCGACGGTTGCAGTTGACGAGTCCCAAATAGGACGAAATGCACATCCTGGATTCCACTGCTAGCCACTACCCATCATTACCATATATTTCACCTTTATTCATGAAATCTTAAGATTGTTTGAATGCACAAATTGACCCATTAGAAAACCACACAACGAGAATAATTGATAGCATATCAGTGTGTTTGTTTGATATATCACTCAGTCAGACAGTGTTACTAATCTAATAACATTTTGAACAATACACATTACTGATCAACATAGGAAGCTAGTCAAACAGCTTTTTTTCGAAAGTTTTAAACTTCTGGTCTCTTACCGTTTAGCCTGAGTTACAGTGGAACTTTCCATATGACTAGAAAGATATAAGGTTGGTTTGGTAAATAAAGATTCAAGCATACAATGACTATGCGTAAGTCAGCAATATTCAGTAGTATATACTTACTGTATATGTGTATCTTCACTGTCAGTGCTGAATTCTACGCTTAATTGTTTGTTTTAACCGGCTGGATCACAGAATATCGGAAGAATTTGCGTTATATTTGTCAAGCTCAAGTTAATCAGGGCATTTCCTAATCCAGCAGTTTTGTACAAGTCCACTCAGCCACTCCACAAATGTCCAAAGCTAATCTTGCTGGGACCTCTGGATTACTGGATGCTTTAATCCAAATATAACTGGAGATATAAGTACATTCCTTGTATAGATTCCCTGCAAACGAATTACTAAAATCGGAATCTGCTAGAAATATGTACTTTATAACCTACCAATAAAAATAGCAGAATTCAATCCTACGTCAGTGTTTGCACTTTCATAGTGCTTTATTTCTGTGGTAAAGATGATATTACGGAAAAGAATATTTTTTTTGCTATTACGTTATTCTATGAGTGCTGAATATCGATGACACTGAATTACAATGTATCATTTGACTACTGAATTTAAATTACAGTAGGCAAGTAAAATCAATACAAAATCTGAGATGAAAACATTTTGATTGGTAGGATCAGTTTGCACGTCACTTACATGGTTCACATCGGCTTAAACAGGGTTTCCGTTTGAAACGTCACAGCCATCAAGATAACAAGTTATGATCCTTGACATACATTTGCCACGAACTGGCGAAATATATTATTACTGAACAAGCTGAACATATAGAAACTACACAACTGATTTGATGAGGTGATCTAAAGTAACTTAACTCCACCAGCTAAATTTTCCCGCTTACACTGACGATAACCTGGTGAGAAGTCAGCGAAACACCGGTCCAGTGTTTACGTCACTATCATCTGGCTGACAAAATCTACAGACTAGCCTGTAGAGGTTTCTAGCCACTCTTGCAATTAATTAGTAGTATAAATCTGATTGGTATAAGCCAAAAAGTGTTGATTAGGTAAGTAGGAGGTACAATACTACTGTTGTTTAGTCACTCATAATCTCCTCGACGTATGTATACACACCCTGTCACATGCGAAGAAAGGTTGATCCGAACCTCGTAGGATAAAGTATCCTATCTGGTTGCAATCATGAGATGAAAGGAATCAGTGGTTGAGGACTCTTGACCGAAAATCGGCCACAATGGAGCAGATGTATACATTCCTTGACCTTTATCTTTAAAGTGTATGTTCTTTCATACACCTTTCTCTACTTTGATATCAGTTTTCTTTGATCTACTTATTCTTCGTGTGCTACTATAAGGTGTAGCGAATTGAATTGATACACTTTTGTGTGAAGTTCTACGTTGCTCTTTTCTGTTTCTCTGATATGTGAACATCAATGCATTTTCGATGACAGTAACGAATCATGTGACTGCCAAACGTCAGTAGATAATGTGCAAATCTCAGGGACAATTACCTATCTTCAGCATAATTTCATGATTTCTTTACTTTCTAGGATAGTACTTCTATCATTTTATTTATCCGTCTTGCATGGTTATTATTCATTAATTTTTTCCTTAAATAATATGAAGATTCTTCTCTATTCAAAAGAATGAACACCTATTTTGCGTTTTTCCGTGACATTACAATCTAGGTCATTATACAGTAATACTGTGTTCTATACAGACGTCTGTCTATGTTCATATACTCCCTGAAAGTTGGTCATCTCACAAATTATTCTTATCCCTCATTATTCAAAGTAATTCCTC